GCTCTACCACCTTCAAAAACTGTACGATATTTGGGTCTCCACTAGGACAAATGACTGACATGGACATACCACATAAGCCAAAAAAAAAAAAAGAACTTAATCAGCGATACGGACTTCTTTCTAGGCTACTTGACAGAAGTTCTAAATTATCTGTTACTAATAATTTAACTATTGGCAAAGTCCTCATTAAACAACTTCGGACATATGGAATACAACAACTATGGGGAACAGCAAAGACATCAAATATAAAAATCATCCAATCATTCCAGTCAAAAGTCCTTCCGAAAATTGTAGACGCACCCTGTTATGTTTCAAACCTTACGTTACACACTGACCTTAACACTCCTTTCATCACGGCAATTGCCACAGACCGCTTTAATAACTTTCATGACAGACCGACTCTAAATTCAAATCTACTTACTCAAGCTCTATCTACTGCCACAAATCCATATAATCCGCCCAGAAGACTGATGAGGCGCTGCCTAAGAGACTTATTGCATTGAGCTACTTGCTGTATTTTTTTTTATTTGTCTGTGTGTGTTATGTTAGCTTATTTTCTTTTTACTATTTTTTTTTTTTTTGTCTTTTTGTTTTGTTATTACTATTCTTATTTTTTTTTACCCTATCATTTATTCTCCAGAATATCATATTTTCTGAATACCGAGGTAAATGGAAAATTTATTGTGAGCCAGGAATATGTATAATTAATAAATAAATAATAATAACATTTTTTTTATCCTAAGAAGTAAAGAAGACCGGGTATGATTGTGACAGTCGTCATAGTAAAACTATGAGGAATTGTCAATAGGTTTATTAAGATTAAAGGGATGTGGTGAATATCTGAAGGTATTTAACAGTATCGCTAAGGAATCGCACGACATTAATGCTAGTTCATTAATTCAATACTTTTTAACAAACAAAAGTAATTATTTTTATTCTATTTCTTTATAGGTACAGATAGAATAATGAATGTCATAGTTATATATGTTAAGTATTAGTTGTTAATTAGAAATGATTAAGGTAGTAGATAATTTATATTTTCATGGTGTTTTTTTGTGAAGGGTTACGTTGGGTACAGTCGGGATATATTTTCTGAAAAAGATTGTGACGTAATTGAATTTAATTTTTTTGGTTTTAGATACTCCGAAAACATTCGAGAAAGACCGAAAGTTGATTCTTAAACAAAAGCTTATGAATTATTAGTAATAAGCGATTAAATTGTCCTATAATATTATATAGTGATTTAATACTATAATAGTCATAGAAGTGATTTTAGACTATTTTTGGTGATTTTTGACTCTGTCACTGCCGATCTCAAGCGCTGCTATAACTGTTCTTGACTTGAGGGTCGATTGTGACATTTTCCCTTTTTTTTTTTTTTTTTAATTTGCTCACATGAGATAAAAATTGTACTTACAGACACAATTTTAGTACTTATACGCAGTCAAGTGTACCCTTCATCATAAAAACACCTTCCTTCTATCAAATTGATTGATACTAACAAAATTGAGGACGATTAAATGAAAATTGTCACAACTATACCCAGTTTCCCCTACTTCAAATCTAATGAACAACAATAAATGCAACAAATGCGTTGACGACTCTAGAGCAGGAGTCTCCAAACGTCCTAACAAAAGTCTCGCGGGCCGCAATGAGACCTCCATCTATGTTTCGCAGGCCACAGCTTGTGATGAAAAAATATCTGTTGTGTCCACTCACACGACTTTCCTACCTATTTCAGAAAAGTTTTTATATCTTTACGTATGTTCATGAAGAAACAAAAAAGTATTGAATTAGATTTATTTTCCTGAAAATTGATCAAAGAAAAGATTTGAGTACGATTTATTTGATAAACTAAAGCAATGTAAACCGGCTTAAGGTAGATCAGTGTAAACATTTCAATACTCTATAGTATTGTTGATAAAAAACTTTTTGCCATAGTCTAATTCTGTCAAACAATAATTTCTGTTAAAGTAGAGGAAATAGTTGAAGCTTGCACGGGCAACAGATTTTCTTACTTTCACTTAGTCATATTTTTTCTCTCATTCACCCTTTTCTGACACCAGGATATGAACACGCAATCTTATGTTGGAAATTGAATAGCTGTAACTTCGTTAATAGTTGTCCAAAATGAACGATTTTTATATAGTTTTGTAGGGGGCTCTGAAACGTATAGATCCGTCGAAAACGGCATACCGGAAATTTGATCCGATGATTTTCCTTACCCAGTATAGGTAGGAAAGTAAAAATATCTTGTTCTATAAATGACACTTCAATTGTGAAAAGAGCTTTATAAGAGAAAAAAAACAGATGCAATAAATGTGTTGCTGTAACCTCTGGTATGAGTAATGTCCTAAATATCATATTATTAAAATGGTTAAAATATTACTGAAATAAACTTGGCGTCTATTGTTGGGTGTTTTATGAGGAACAATTAGTTACGACAGTAATAAAAAGGATTTATTTAACTACGTGTCAGTTGAAGGAGCAATAAACACGATTTCCCGTAGTCCGATAGCATTTAATGACCCTTCTCATATTTTATCACGACTTCACGAGACCAGTAATTCTTCTGAGCTATCTGATAAGGGATGGTGGAGAGGAGAGGAGAAATATCGCGTTATCCAAGAGTCTATGAACAATAACATTTTTTACCGTCAAATAGTTTATACTAATTTTAGGCGAGGATTTTATCTGCGATACTTTTAAAATTTCAAATGATCTGTGACTTCACTATGTTTCATCGATTAGTTTCATAACTAAATTACGCGAAGGTATTTACATGAAATTTAGTAACAGGGAAGTTACGAATACTGACGTTTTGACTTGCCTGGCCTAATAGGTGTGGGAGTCTACATAGATTATTTAGCCACACAATGCAGTTTTCCTGTCGTCACACCAACTGTTGTATTTGAAGCGGAATTATTTGGTACCGGAAAGAGAATTTGCGACAGAAGAGGGAAGAAATTTTGTCGCCATTTTTGTGATTTCCTGCCGACTTCCTCTAATAAATATCATATTATTAAAGTGGTTTTTAAATCCTTACATTGTAATAAAAAAAACTTACTTGGGCCGTACTGGAAATGCTTGCGACCGTATATGGCCCCCGGACCGTACTGTGGAGAGTCCTACTGTAGAATACTCTTTGCGTGTGAATAACCTTTTATCATCAGAGGTCTAAATAACTTAATAATCCTTGGTACAGACCCCTTTTTATCGAATTATTAACATCCGCCTAAAACTTAGTAAATAGTTTCATCTTATCGTAATCTAAAACTTTTTTATTTACGAAAATCTTGGAATTGGGACGTTTTAAATATGGAGGAGTGCAAACTTTGCGTATTTAATTAGATACTAAAAACTATTAAACATCCATTTGCTTTCTACTTGGATCGTAATATAATTTAATCACAAATTCGATAAAAAGGGTTACCTTAAAAATATTGACTCGTTTGGCGTGACCTTCACCCCCTAATTTTCAAAATAACGAGGTTATGTAGGACTAACGGTCCAATATTTTTGTATACCGCCTTTATTATCGATATTGTGATCAAATTATCCTACGATCCAAGTAGAAAGCAAATGGTATTTTCTAGTTTTTACTACCTAATTAAGTGGACAAAGTTAGCAACTCTCCATATTGAAAATGCCTTCATTCCAAGAGTTTCCGTAAATAATTATTATTGTTAATGAAGGCTGCAACATTATAAGTTTTAATGTTGCTATTTGTATTTATTAATAAAGACACTCGTATAAAGATATTCAACTTATTTTATTATTTTTTAATTTTTATCAAGTTTAATAATTAAATATTAATTTATTCTAGGGCTAGAATATCGAATATCGTACAAAGATATTTGGAGGACGCAGATTCTCCACATATCCTCTAGAGACTCAAAACCCAAACTAACAATTTATTTATATTAATGAATAAATTATTATATATTAATTTTATTTATATTACTGTTCTGATTTATTCAGATTTCCTTAACACGTTTACGCAAACACGTATCACTTATAGTTCACACAAGACTGAATCATCGGGCCGAGTACAACAGCAAATATTTATATCTTTAAGTAACTATTTGATAGTTAACATATATTAATTGAAAATATTTTAACAACAATTATACATGTATTATAACCATTACTTTAATTCAATAACTTTGACAAATCTTTAGGAAACAAACATACCCTGGCGTGAACATGGTATTGGATGCTGTGATTTTTTTATTTTATTTGTTTTTCTATTCATTCTGAGCTCTCCGACGTTGATTTACCTAATTTCTTCTCTGTGGACCCACTCAACGTATCACTTCTCTGCTTTGCATTGTTGGGTATTTTTTTCTATAGCCTCATATGTTTTTCTAAGAGAGTGTTGTATTCATTTTCAAGTTTGCAGTCTTATTTCAAAATAGCTAATTGGTAGTTTTCAATAGCTATATGGGTTCTAGCTATCGAATTTTCTGTATTCTAAGTATACACCGATTAACGAAAGTTTGTTTCGGAGGGGAAGGTTTCACTGCCATAAAGCAAAACTAGTTTCACTTTCGTATTATGAGCATTATTTTCTTGTTCTTTATGTAGCTTTTCACATATACCTTCCTTTGTGAATACCCCTCCCAAATAGACAATGTTTATGTTCTCGGTGCCTAATTTGATTCGCAATGTCGAGTAAAACAAATGACGAAGAAGATATAGAAGATCCAAGTGTAGTTATTTGTTTTAGGGCAGAAGGTAAGGATCTCCGAATCAAGATTATCACAGAATACGAAAGAAATATTTCTTTGTTTATGGGAGAAATATTAATAAATCTTTCATATAAATATTTTATATCTCAAACTGTTTAAAATATATTGTTGTAGGCTTAGACAAGACAAATAATATAAGTTATCCATCACTAAACGATACAAGATTTTTGAAAATTCATCACTTATCTAATGCTAATAAATACGAGTACTATATAAGTAATGATGTACGTAAACAAACAGATGTCTTACCTCAAATCTGAGCCAGGACTTGCCCTAACTAGTGGCGTCTGGAGGCTGCCATCGACGACTATACCACCTGGACCTGAAAAATTGTCAGTAATATCATAACTGGTACATACGATTGACAGGTTCACTTGTACATTTATTAAGGCACACTCACCAGACAATCTCAGAATTTCTGCTCCGACGATGACTTCATTTTTATCGGCGGAGAACAGCGCTCGTCCCTGCAGATCGCTCACTTTGAACCTCGAGGCCTGCACTTCGAAGGCATCATTACCTGGGAAAAGGACGGAATGAGTCAAACATATGAGTAAAATAAATTATTGTACATTATGATTTAAAAAATTCGACTATAAAGCAAATGACTCTGAAACAATTCTATTTTTATTACTAATTTCATTATAATTCATTATTCCGTTTTTAATAAAGTACTTTTTTAAAATTATTTCGTCGATGTATTTTTTTCTTTTTTATTGTTATTATTTCTTTATTCTAATAATATTATTATTTTTTAAAAATTTGTATTTAAATTTGCATTTATATGTGTTATTACAGACGAATGCACGGAGGGAGCAGTCTTTCGAGCTGAAGATTCCCCCTCTCCAAATGGTAAAATATAACTATGAAAAAAAATTATCTTTAATTATTATTATGAAAAATTTATTTAAAAAATTATCTCTAGAAGTATTATTGTTCGTCTAATTACATTTTATAGGACTTAAAGAATCACATATACACCACTTCATGTAAGTACTTAGTTTCCTTCTTTCTTCCGAAGTAATTATCGTATTATCCGAGTTTTCAACGGACATACCCATCTTGAGGTCCCCTGAGTCCAAATAGCCAAGTCCCGCAAAATGGTGTTTATGTGTTTGTGTTTGTGTGTGTGTGTGTGTGTGTGTGTGTGTGTGTGTGTGTGTGTGTATGTGTGTGTGTGTGTGTGTGTGCGTTAACAATCTAGCTTAAAAACAATGTATAATTGCTCGTACGAAAGTGTAATTGCATATTTAAGATGTTTATATGCTAGAGATGTTACATATATTTTTCCGTCAAACTCGGCTAACCAGAAGTGACACTTTATGTAATGGGCTAAACACATTTTTCGGATTTTCTCAAAAATGGCTCTAACGATTTTGACATAATTCATCATATCAGTTTAAAATTGAGCAATTTTAAACAAAATGTAGTTTTTATTCTGATTGATGTTCTCTAACAGAGCTTAAATGGCTTATTTTCAATATTATATTCCCCTAAAATACCTTTAATTGTTTTTATTTGAAATAATTGACCATTTCAACTCCGAGCTTCATATAAAAACTTATATTATAGAAATATACATATGCAGTTTTCATAGATTCGTTTATTGGTTTTATTTAATACTTAATTGTATAGATTACAGCGATATAAATATTAAAAATTTTACATATAAGGGTACTTATACAAATAAAAATACCCATAATGAAATATAAATCAATATAGCTTTTATAAATTTTACTTTAATTTCACCATTGTCTGAAAATACTTATTTGTTCTTAGAGGGTGGTAAGTGAAAGTTGTGTGATGCACGCAATGCACCATATTTTTTTACCAGAAATGATATTTTTTTTCTTAATGAAAAATAGGTTATTTTCCCAAGGATGGAGGAATGACATAAATGGAAATCGGTGGGATAGGATTCCTTGTATTGCGTAGGATGCATTGTAGCGGGGTTGTGAGGAGTTGATAGAGAAATTGTGATAATATGAATGTTATTCTAGCAATGGGGCTCACTATTGGTCTTGCTTCAGTCCAGTTAGTTATCAATTCTCAGTCTTGTCAATTCTGAGGCATTTTGCATGTGTTTGCTACCTCTCTCGCAACAATAATAGATCTTTTCTTCGGAAAACAAATGACAGGTTAGTTTGAGTATAAAGAATGAATCAAAATAGCTTAAAATATTACTGAAATATTACTGAATAATATTAGCTGAAATAAACTTAGCGTCTATTGTTGGGTGTTTTATGAGGAACAATTAGTTACGACAGTAATAAAAAGGATTTATTTAACTATGTGTCAGTTGAAGGAGCAATAAACACGATTTCCCGTAGTCCGATAGCATTTAATGACCCTTCTCATATTTTATCACGACTTCACGAGACCAGTAATTCTTCTGAGCTATCTGATAAGGGATGGTGGAGAGGAGAGGAGAAATATCGCGTTATCCAAGAGTCTATGAACAATAACATTTTTTACCGTCAAATAGTTTATACTAATTTTAGGCGAGGATTTTATCTGTGATACTTTTAAAATTGCAAGTGATCTGAGACATCACTATGTTTATTGATTAGTTTCATAACTAAATTACGCGAAGGTATTTACATAAAATTTAGTAACAGGGAAGTTACGAATACTGACGTTTTGACTTGCCTGGCCTAACTGGTGTGGGAGTCTACATAGATTATTTAGCTACACAATGCAGTTTTCCTGTCGTCACACCAACTGTTGTATTTGAAGCGGAATTATTTGGTACCGGAAAGAGAATTTGCGACAGAAGAGGGAAGGAATTTTGTCGCCATTTTTGTGATTTCCTGCCGAGTACCTCTAATAATAATGTATGTTTTATATCACTAGTTAAGTAGATAATGTATTTCAAAATAAACATCATCATGAGAAAAAAACCAACTCGTTCCAAAGACCGAATTAATACCAAAACAACTAAAAAGTAAAACATAAATCTGTTCCTAAAGATAAAAAAAAAAAAAGATTTATTTTCATCAAAATTAGTCACTCTTAGAATTTAGAATATTAACCACTGTTGCATGTTCGAAAGTCATTGAATCTCATTCAATTATGAGCAGTGAGAGACCTGATTAGCTCTCCTGAAATCAGTGATACCTATTATGGGACCAGAGAAAGTCCAGGACTGGGCAAGGAGAAGAGGAGGGAAGAAACTGGGGCTAGTCAAGTCCTTAATTGAAAGTCCTCCTAATTTTACAACCAATTGGCTGTTGGGATTGAACAATAATGACACTAGATTAATTATTAAAGTATTTACAAGCCACTCCAAACATAAAAGACTTCTATCGAGATATGCGTAGTGTTGCCCAAATGCGAGACCGAGACGAGTCTTGGTCTTGCAAACTCAGTCTTGGTCATGGTCTTGGTCTTGCGCAAGACTCTCGCAACAGTCTTGCAGTTACTTATTAGCTTATTACTATAGAGATATTACTGTCTTTTTTTTATATAGGAGAAACCTAACTAAGCCCGTAAGAAAAATTAGAGGAGTCGAATGCAAAAGTATATTAGTTATATCAATTATTAACATACAGTAACTAAGATTGTCAAGTATTAGTAACATTTTTGAATTTATTTTTATTTAAAAAGTTGATTTTTTTTACCAGTCCTGGTCTTGGTCTTGCAACAGTTCAGAGGGTTTGGTCTTGGTCTCGGAAAGTGCAAGACCAAGACCGATTTTGGGCAATACTAGATATGCGGCATAATTGGAGTTGGAATCTGCCGCTTGTGCAGACAAGTAACGGAAACTGCCCTAAACTAAATAACAGAATAATTTACGTTGCTAAGATACAGTAATACATTCTATAACAGAAGGCTTTCTTCCTTACGTTATAGTCCTTTTTGAACTTTTTTGAAGGACTAAACGTTACGAACTAGAGGTTAAGGAAAGGTCTCCATCTGATTTTTTATATTGGCAAAAAGGACCAACAAAACCACTTGCAAGAAGATTACTACTCCACGAAAATTATTTTCGCAAATAAATTTTAAAAACATTTCAGCATTTGCCAATAATATGTTATTCCATTTCGGATTTAGTTTTTTTTTCAAGGAATATCACACATTTAAAAAAAAAATCAAAATTATTCTAATTTTTTATTATTTATAATTTTTTCCTATTCTTGAGCAATGTGATGAAGTTTGTGATCATTGTCTACCAAGACACCGAGAAATTATTAAATTTTTCGTTAAAATTATTATATAAAAACTATTTTTTTTTTTTGTGCAATAATTACAACTTAATTAGTAACAACAAATCCCAAGACGACATGTAACCTGATATGGAGCTAATCATAGGGTTCAGCTGGATATTAATTATCCTCATGCAACATTTTAAAGTCATAAAACCCGGCATTAGGGGTAGTATAAATCAACTACAAAATTAATGTTTTATAAAAATAAATAGAATAGAAAATGGAAAAGTGGAAGATTAATATTCTCCGTTAAATAGATTTGGGTAATTTTGTTTAAAAATGATAGGAGATCGTTTCGGTTTTCAGCAGAAGCTGTAAGCTTGAGGTCGTGCTCGGGGAATATGGTGAAGTCACGCGAGCGACAGCTTTTCCGGAACTAACCGCTGTCGAGGGGTCTATTTTCCTCTCCGGGTGGTGTCATGAACAACCAATAGAAATAATATTTCAAGATGGAAATCGCTATGCGGTTCTTTTCTCGTTTTATTTAACTGGTAATTGTTTTATTGGCTGCAGTGGATACAATAGCAGTAACCGAGATAAGCGGCCTCAATAGACTTTTTTTTTCTGAGTGCCTTAGTGACCGGATTTTCGTCATATTGTTTTTGCTTGGATCGGTTTATGGCCAACCAACAAGATCACGAAAGACGCCTGTTTAGAGTTTGGAAAACTACAATTTGTCTTAACAAAAGTAGGAATTTAAAAAAGCCTGTACCATTGCAACCCATGAAGGTTCTTGGGTTCAATACTATTTAGGGAAAGTACTGTTTCTTAGAAAACGGTTGTGCAAGAAAGTGATTTGACTGATATCACGCTGAACCATCAGGTTTTCCTCCTTAATTAATTATTTAATTAATATTTATATGGTACCCACTTTATAGAGGCTGGGTGTGCCCCAGGAGGGTCTCCTGATCTCAGGGTCTTCCCATGGCTGACGAAAGAGAACAAATAATTTCACTTCCATGAGCCGGGATTCATACCCGTGACCATGAGCATTAGAAGATCAGTGCTGAGCTACCCCACTCTCTGGTAGCATTTAAGTAAAAAGAAGTTTTCTTAAAGAAAAAATAAATGAAAAGACGTACGATGAACCCTGCGCAACCAGAAGGCGTACCTGAAGGTATCGAGGGGGGAGGAGATGGGGAGAGAGGCAATCTCACTGGCTCTGTTTTCTATCGATAGTAGTTGGTTGAGGGATTTCTAATGTAGTCGCCATAAGTTTTTCGTTTGAACTTTACAATTAGTTGTTTGAGTTCATTATTAAGTTGTACGCTCGTTTATCTGATGGAAATCTGCAATATTTTGCGAGCTTTCC